TCCTGTGTCCTGCCTGTTTCGGCCCACACAACGTGCTGTCCTCTTTCCAAGCTCTTCTGGCAAGATGAAAAAGCCAATATTGCCCCTATATACTGCTGCCAGTCAGGCTCAAAGGCTTCACTGCATGGGAATGAAATCAAGATGTGTCTACTACACATCAAGTGATAAAACCTCATTCAGGTTTTCTAGATTCCAAGACAGATACTTGAGAAAGTTTTTCCTAGGTATTTCTCACTCATTTCCTGCTGTCTTGAGTTAGAAATGGTTATAGCTGGAACTTCAGATCTTTAGGCTTTTCCATTTCAAAGTGGTTGAGAATCAAGCAATTGAATTGAAACCCACCATTTCTAGAATTTTTATTCCAAACAGATAGTACTGTATTCACTTTGCAATTCAAGTTGGAAGAAATTTAGTAAGAACAGTTAATTTTACAGAACTCTTGCTAACAGAAGCCTCAGTTTAATGGGAACCTAAAACAAGTCTAGCAATGGTTTGGCTTTGGACTTCGACCCAGATGAGAACGTTTTTTCCTTGCATAACTTCGGATGTGATATTTTATTATTGTACTTGAGAACAGTCTAGCCAGAATAATTAAATGCAGATTTATCTTCAAAGAATTTTCTAGGCGATGCCCCAATTTTGAGTGACAGAAAATATTTCTTACCAAAGAATCAGTTACATAGCTGCATAAAAAAATATCTACTGCTGTATCTATCACATTGGCAATAGGCTTGCATGCTGCTACCTCCATGGAAATCTGAAAGATGAATTAAAAAAAATACAGTTTGAAATATTTAACAGAATAAAGAACCTCAAAACTTGCTTACAGTTACAGGTAGTGTTTATTAAATTGTTATCTCTCGCCTTATCCAAATTCAAAATAAATTCCAGTGGGATATGCTATCAACTGAACATCTTTAAGACATCAGCTTGCTTTCTCAAAGGCTATAGCTGAAGCAATAAGAATAAAACAAGATGCTAATGATATCAAGTTGAACTAAGAGGGTCAGGTTCAGCGAAATATAAGCAAAAAATGATAGATTCCAGGCTAGCCCTAGTAAAACAATGTTTATGTTAAATTTGCATTTTATTCCAATCAACACAATTCTTAATTTCTACTTCAAGCACATCAAAGCTACGTATAGAAGATAAACTTTCCTCTTCATAATAAGTACAAATATTTTACAAACTGAAACCATAAAACATACTCTAGAAGTAACATTTTTTATTATTATTTAGCTTTTTAATTTTTTTTAAATGTAGCTTCTCTCAATGAAGTAAATGCACCTTACCGACTCCTTGACCCACTCAACATATTGCTCAAAGTAGCCAACTATGGTATCCATATACTTTTTTGTCTCCTAGGAACAGACGAAGTGAACAAAAGTAAGTGAACCTCTACATTCTTGACATTTTAAATTAATGTATTTTAATCAAATTAAGCTTACCTGGACAATAACTAGGGAAGCATTGTTATTTATGAGATGCTGGGCAGCATTAACAGCGCTAATGACATTTTTCACCTTAACCTGGAGAGGAAGATAAATAAATTCTTTTAAGGTTGTTGCAATGGCTCTGCAACCGTTGTCAGGAACCTGTTTGTTCTCTTGATAAACCAGTGTCACTGTCCTGGAAACACACAATTCCAGACAGAGCACAAGCCTGCCTAAGGATCATCTGAAAGAATTCTCTCACTACTAAAAAACCAAGGTACCAGTGGTTATGAACAGTATCTTTTTTTATCCAGCTTATATACACTACAGACACACACAGTGCAGAGGAAAATAGTGGGCCATATACCACCACAAATTACTGGAGTATGGTTCTATACAGCTAGGAAAGGCTGCTCATCAACATCCAAAAGGTTTTGGACACTTCTTCAATGTCTGTACAATCCCCTAAAGTCTCTTAAAGAACACACACAAAGGATAATGTACGTACAGTCTGGAACTATAGAGTTATTTCTTAAATACAGTTAAAGGTCAAACACCTTATCAATACCTTATTTCACGGCTTCTTACCTCCCCACTCAGGCTCATATCAGAAACTGTGACAGAAATCTAGCTGCTCTGCTGCTGTGGATAGGGGAAAACCTTAGTGGGAAGAATGAATGTACGTATGGCCCCGCGAGCTGCCGTGACTCTGACTCCAAGTGCTTGTTAGCATGCCTGGATTCTTGCTACCAGAGCCAAGGCAGGCTGGTGGCAACTAAAAGTTTTGCTGCCAGAAAAGGAGCCATCCTCTCTTCCTTAAGTCTCCTGAGCTCAGCAGAGCGTGAAGGCAACTGGTCTCACTATGGTGCAGGCACTAGGAGGGGAAACGTGAGCTGCCCTGGGGAAGCCTCTATAGACATCCAGGTTCCTACAGCAAGGCTGGTACCGCAGAAGCAGGAAGGTGACGAGTACGATGCTAGAGAGACAGGCCCCAGTAGGAGCTGGACATTGGACAAGAGGTCCTTAAGGAGGTGAATCACAAAGCTCTCTTTCTCAGTTGTATTTTTGCATTCTGTTTCTTGGTTGTCCCCCCCTCCACGTTTTGCACCCAAGGATTCATTCTAGAAAACACAACTACGTTTTTAGGAACATGAATAATGTGACAGATGGAACTATACTGAAGTCTATTTTATCACGTGCCAATAGAGTTTACAATTCACACTTCAAAAAATATCCCAAACATTTTTTTTTTCTATAAGGAAGGGAAAGCTAGGGTAGAAAAACTTGTGCAGAACAAATATCTAAATTCCTGCTACTATCTCAATGCTTTACGATCTCTTCCAATTACAGAACAGATAGAAATAGAAAAAGCTGTACTGAAAAATATATGCCCCACATATGGGGTGGATGGATTTAACACACATAAAAATGTTCCTTCTGTTAGAAGGCAAGCTTACCGTAAGTTCAGATGATGTCCTCTTCAGCAACCTAATGCTCTGATTTAAAGTGCTCTATTAGAGAAGTAAGGGAAGGGAAAAAAAAAAAGATTCAAGTCAATACTACAGGTAAGAGTCCACCTGTTTTACCACTCTATGCATGGTCTGATCTTCTATAGATTCTTTCGTTTCCAGTACATCATATCACATTATAGATAGTAACAACAGTTGTATTTAAACTAATGTATTGTGTTATTAATTGCTGAATCAGTATTTCACTAATAGCACTAATCAGTTATGAATTGTGTACTGGAAGACTTCATATAAAAGTTAGGAGCAATAAACTGAGGAAAATTTGGTGGGAAGAGAGAACAATTAAAATCAGAACCAAGGTGTTTAGAGAATTCTATATTGTGCAATTTCAGAAGAGAAAAAGCACTTACCCTAGCTTTAACATATTTCTTGACAGTCAGTTTTTGTAAAAGGAAAAAGAGATGAGAATAATTAGGAGTTAATTAGGAAAGAACGGCATAGAATCAGAGTGGAACAGAAGACCCAATGGTTTTCTACAAGAGGGCTTTGATAAGGGCAGAAACATTGTATCAGATGCTAGTATAAGCTAAAAGTCATCATGTCATGTAGAGGAAAAGGCAACACTTGGCATGTGAGAGAGCCACAGTTTGATGCTATACAAATCAGTGCTTAGTAAAATCAGGCGGAAGCAGCCCTTTCACATCTTTTATAGCATCAGTAAAAAGATATTTTTTTTTTTACTCTAAATACTACTGCCAGAAGTTTCCAACTCCAATACTATTAGGTGATTGCTAACTCCAAGAAAAAGTGTGAAAGTGATAACTACTTTTATGAATGAAGAGAAATGGTAAGCAAAAAAAACCAAACCAAACAAACACACAAAAAAGTGGAAGAAAAAGGTCATGATTTTAGACTGTATTATAAAGTAGCAGTAATATAAGTAGGGAAACTATTAAACACATTCTTTAACCACATTACTCTTCAGTGACACAATGCAAATGCAATCTGTGCTTACAGAATAGTAAAAGTCTAACTTTCTAGAGTGTATTTAAGACATTTAGAGATTTCTATTTTCTACAAATATGTTTTAACTTTGCTTTAATATTTTACCATAGCTTGCTCTAGCGGAACAACTTGCTGGTTATGAATCATTCGAATGTTGTTTGCGTGTCCTTTTAAGGCATTTTCCAGTGCTCCTTTTGGCTGAAAAAAATGCAATTATGCAGTATTGTTCAGTAGTCTCAAAGCTTTCCAACAAAGCAAAAAACAACAAAAGTTGCACATGATACTCATCCACGGCAGCACCCCTGAAGCTAAACAACAGAGCATGACAAATGGAACTCCTCAACACAAGGCAGGGAAAAATCATCGTGTTAATAATTCAGTTGTCAGCAACCAAATCAAATATGTATTATACTGCTTTTCTGCTATAACATCAGCAGCACAGATTTAAATGAAGAGGACTTTCAAATGGGGCACCAAGTCATTTGAAATACAGGAGCACATCCTCCTCTCCCTCGCCATAAGCTTCAGCACAAGAGCCCTGCGGCGCGGCACCCCGGCTGGGACCAGCTTCCCAGTCATGGGTACTCGCTTTTGTTCTGAGCGCGGTGGACATCAGCCCCAGGCACTCTCAGCTTTCTGAAGGCCAGAGAAGTTTAGATATTTTCAGCCCGTAACTTGGAAAGGCGTCTGTGAAGGGTCTTTTTCATTTTTGTGGCTCCTGCCTTTCAGTCAGAAGATATGAGTTTGTGCCCTGATTTTCAAGCCTGTCTGGAGATCACACTTTTTGCATAATACTGTAAAACTTGATTTTACTCTCAGAAATGCGCTCATTTCCATTCCCTTTTGGTGCCAGAATCACTTGGCTCCCTGCATGCATACTGAATACACGCTGCTAATGCTGTTTTGGCAGCATAATAATAGCAGAGCTCAATGCTCGGAGAGGTGTTTGCTTCCTGAGAAGCGCTCATGTGAGCGATCAGCTGCGGTCACCGAGCAGCTTCAGAGGGTTTCATCGGTGGTACTGACAAGCTGCAATCACTTACTAATAACATCTGTGGGTGGTACTGCCCCCTTCTCCATCCCCTGACCCCTTGGTTTGATGTAAGTTTTATTCCATTTGCTCTTTCCAGCGTAAAAATATGAGTTTAATTTTGTGTAAGGTGCCAGAAAATGCAAATTATACATGCCAAGTTAACAAATTCCAAAAGGTTTTAGTTTATTTAATTGATTAGTCTTGTACACTTTAAGAGCTACCACTAATAACAAAGTGGGATTATAAAATACCCTTGGAAACCAATAACAAATTTGAAACATTCTAACTTTTCTAATATATCATATTGTTGTGGAGTGGTTTGGTTTTTTGTTTTTAGACGTTTCATGGATGACACTAAATAGCATCACAAGGAAGAAATAAAAACGCAGATAGTGATAGTGAACACACTGAGTATCATGTTTGTCTTTTATATGAACAAATTAGTTTGCCTGATCTATTCTCAATTCTAATGCTTCCTTTAGATTCTATTACATAAAATAACGAAAAAACCAACCTATCAGCACGATACATTTTCCTTTATGGAATTATGTAGAATATACCTTTAAGGAGACATCTGGAGACAATTCTATATAAGACATAATATGCTTGAAGAACCTCAGTTTTCACTGAGAAAATAGTCTCAAAATTACAGCAGAACCTCCCCATCTGTATAACCTTCAAAACAGCACAATAAAAATTGAAAATGGAAGTGAAGTGCGGCCAAGGCTACTGGTATCTGTCCAAGTTAGAAAAGCTACATGAGCAAACAGGCAACGTGGAACTCATGGTACCTGGAGAGGATGTTAACTATGATAGAAACACCCCTTGACATGAGCACACGTGACAGAAAAAAATACAAATGCTACTGGTGTGATCATATTATGCAAAACGCTGGAGTAAATACACCAGGAGCCTCTACTGGTGCCCTCCTCTCCCTGGAGAAGGGTCAGAATTCTGATGAATTCCCAACAGCACGGTCTCACTCTGCTGTCTGTGTCCAAGTCATTGTAGTACGTGTGTGTGCAACATCACGCTTCCTCCCACACTGCAATGCAGGAATCTGTTTTGGGCCAGTGTCCAATCCAGCACCCAAACTACAACTCTCATTTTGAAAAATAAATAGGAAGTGACCTTGTCATGCATACAAACATATCAACTGAATATCTGTTAACACATCTGTGTCATTCTGCAGATTCATTTCCAGGCAATGTTGCAGCTATACCCCTCAGACCATTAACCATGTGTCTGTGTTCAAAAAGCCCTTCAGAGCCGACAGGATGTCTTTTGTGCATTCTTCCTCCACAACAGAGCCTCAGTTCTCACTAGAGCCCTTACGAACTGCCACAGTATTAATTTTATTGCTAATCTCAAAAGTCTTCTGCTTGCTAACTGAAAGAAAATTAATTTAAATAATCTTTTCCCTCATTGTCTAAAAAATTTTTCTTCCAGCTGGGTCCCTGAAACGTAGACAGGAAATACTTGGAGCATTCCCCTCGCAAACAGCGGAATTTAAAGCTTACACTTCCAAAGCAGAAGTTGCACAACAGTTTGCATACAAAAATCAATACTTAGCAATATTTAAAATACAGCTCATACTCAAAACTGTTCTTGCAAGTTTTTCTTTACATAACAATGTAGATAAGTGTCTGAAGCACAAGAATTCTCCTACAGGAGAACTTAACTATTTGGCTACGTATTTATACTTACACAGTATATAAACAATACATGTTATGCATTATTGTATTAGTGACTTAAACTTACCAGCTGGTCTGCTCTTGCTTCTAAGTCATTAGCAAAAGACAGAAGATCAACCTTGGTAACACTTTTATTGATCTGAAACAAGACATGAACATAAGGTGAAGATAAAGAGTATGCTGCTATTCTCTATACAGACTGTTTGCACTTAACCACATCACCTACTTTGTATATGCTTTATTTCTTTAAATGTTTATTGACCTTAACTTCTGAAGTCCTTTTGCACCAAGTTTTGTGATTCTTCAAAACACATCCTTGCACACAAAAGTAGATATTTTTCCATTTTGCCCATTGTTAAAGAAACATTTCATTTTATGTTTTGTCCCAGTTGCCTCTAATTTACTGCAGTCTCACCTCTGTCAAATACGCGGCAAAGTTTATCCCTTCTATTCCTGAAGAGCTGAAATTCAGGAGATTCTCCTTCCCAATTTCATCCAGCAGAATGATTTTGCTGAGGTTTATCTGGATGTGTTCAATTTTAAGTGCTACATCTTCTGTATACTGAGAGGGAAACAAAATAAAGCACAAAAGCAGTGTGCATCCCATGTGTATTCCTCTGTACCTGTCCCATTTCCCCTCCAAGCATCTCGCTTTTGCCAATTCATCACTTCCATGAACAAGCACACCCTGATTTTCGCTTACATCAGTTTAATTCAACTAACTTTGAAAGAATCCATCAGGTAATGTTCCTCCCTTCCCTGCAGTGTCCACACAGTCTAGCCATCCCATGTTCTAATCTACCTATGTATCTTTCACAGCAACGAATTACTTGCCTTCAATCACATTTTACACAGGCTTTTCTGAACCAATGTTATAGTTCCTCCTAAGAGGAAACTGAGGAAACACAGAATTCTCTTTCACCTCCAGGAAATGTTATCCTTAAAAATTTTAAGTTCTACACTCTGGCCCTAATCAAGGACATTTAGAGAATTCAGTAGCTCAGCTGCGACCAGGACAGAGACTGACCGCTGTACTGGTCACAAGACTGGATGCGACTCCTCTTAATAAATTCAGTGGTGACTAAACTTATTAAGAGGAGTTCAGTGTTACCTGGAGTCTTCCTGCACTGCACCCAAATCTAAAATGTGACCTGTCCTGCACAGGCCACAGAGCAACAGATAAGGAATCTGGAAACCTGACTTCCTTCCCTGCCTCCACATTAGCCTGTGTGGAGACTCAAAGTGATTTTCCCTCCTAGTGAATCTTTCCTGTTCATTTTAACTGCATATTATATGGGGAAGGGACTGTATCTACTAAATGCGGGTAGAGCACCTGCAGAACAGAACACAAATCACCCAGGGGTTGCTGTAGTGCAGATCAGCATTATCGGCAACCCCAAACTTTGTACAGTCATGTATTATTACAACCCAACTGAAAAGGTTTTATTTTATCCTCAACACTTCTCGCTGAAATCAGAACCATTCTTAGGAGCACAGCATATCATATCCTGGATCAACATAGAACTGACTGGAATCAGAAGAGAACACGCCAACAAAGGCATTTATATGAAAGGACGAGACTCTCATTCAACACCACGAGCAGACTTTGGAATTTCAAAATTAAAAAACAATGTTAACAGGAGCAGCCATAAAAAAAAGCACATCAGAAAACTTTCCATGGCCCATCAAGATTGGTAAAAAACATCTTATTTGTAAATAGATTTCTTCCTTTCAAATTAGCTTGGGCAGTCCTAGCAGAATGCACTGTATATAAAAACCTAAATTCCATAAAACTCAGACATGCTACGCTGTGTTTAAGAGTAAAAACCTCTCCAGCCTTCAAAAATAATCATACACCCACACATACTTTCTTTACTTACCATACTAATATTCAAGAATTCATTGATATTGAACAGGTGTTCTAGGTGAAGGGAAGTATAAATTCCTTTGTTTTCCTTGCAATCACTATAAAAATAAAAACACATACATCAACCCCAAAACCACCTCAAGGATCAAGTGTTAGAACAATAATTAATAGCGTTCTCATATTCTAAGAAAATGGCTTTGTTTTTTTGGTTTTTTAAAAGTTCTGGCTATATTTTTTTGAAGCTCAGTCTGTAAAAAAGCAAGTAATTAATTTCTGCTGGCCTCAAAGTTGCAAAACATTATCATAGGTCAATTAGTATCATTATGCAATGTAACTAAGACTTGTATGTAGGAGCAAAATGCTTTTGCTAGTAATGCACTAGAAAATCAGAAAGACTTCTGGAACACGTGATTTTCGCATGCGCTTGAAATATGAAGCATGGAAGATACCACAAAAATAATATATATTGAATTAAATCTTGACCATGACTTTAATACCTGTATACTTTTTCAAAAGTCAAGTTAATATTTGGATTTTTAAACAGGATGCCAGAAAGGTAGTTTTTCCAGTGTTTATTTAGTAAGTAGGGAGTATCCAAAACCTAGAAGAAAAAAAAATAAATCAGTAATGTTACTATTAAGTAGGGAGTATCCAAAACCTAGAAGAAAAAAAAAAAAAAAATCAGTAATGTTACTATAATTCTGAGTTTTCAATTCATTAATTTATTCATACATATTTTGACACATATCCACATCTAAGCTTATCATCCATTAATGCAAATAGAAGTAAAAAAGCAGATTCAACCTCTCTAGTGCAGAAAGTGAATATTAAAGCTCAACATCATCGAGAAATGCTGAAATCAAAGACAGGTTTATCTCTAAAGGAAGATAGGCATACAGTATTTACAATACAAAGCAAATTAAACCAAGAATGACTGACTGTCTCTATTCTGTGCATAAAGGGAAAGTAAATCCAGATCAAAATTTGATTGAAGCATCCCCTAAAGAATATAGTAACGCCACACATAACTGACAAGACCATCAGGACTCAAGTAACCTTAATAACTTCACCTTGAATAAAGTTTTATCTTCAAAGGGCTCACAGACCAGTTTTTCTACATTTCCACCAGTGACGAAAGTGAGCACCACTACACTCATCAGCACCCAGGAGAAAAGAAAACTGAATCCAACACCACTGAAAAAGAAGTAAAGTGAGTAAGTTTTTGGTTTTTTAAGAACAAAGTATATGTACTTGGGGGAACTGCTGCAAGTTAGCAGCTATAAGAGAGATATGAAAGCTGGTAGATGATTGAAAAACTCTGAAATACATGTTTCAGTCTTCAGCTAAATCGCATCTAAAATTGACACCACACATCAGTGCAAACCACACACACAGTGTGGTCTCCACTGGCATGCAAACTCTTAGAAGAGTTACATTTAAGAGCCTGGTACTCTAAAAGTTTTAGACAGATTTCAGATACAATCTCCCTTTGTACGCAACAGAAACTACATTAAACCACTACTGGGTTGCTCCAAGAACAATCCCAAACCTCCTAAAGTGCTCTGAAAAAGTCAAGTGTTTTCTGTCTCTTCACATGGCTTTTCTGTCTTTGGAGCAAATGCTCAAGTGTACTAAAAAGCTATAAATTCCCTTTTTATTTCCAAATATCTGTTGCTAGTTTTCACAGTTTCCAAATGGGCTTAGATATAAATCCATGTTCTACATCATTTGCCTTAAACCAGCAGATTCAGAGCATTTTATCCTTCAGCTATAGCCCTCAATGAAAGCGCAACTCAAACCCCCCAAGTCCCTCAGTGAAAACAAGCGAGATCACTATTTATTTTTTATCTATTTTTTCAGCACATATAGCCATGTATGAAAATAAAACTGTCACCTGTGTCCTCAAAATAAATAAAACCAATGTTCTATGGGTACCTTCAACTTATTTTTCACCAGTAAGTGAAACTTACGCCATAAGAAAGTTTCCTCCAGTGTTGGAGATGCAGCCTCTGGTTGTTGGGGAAGCATGTTTGTCATAACCGCAGGTGCCACACAGCAATCCAAGATAGTAAAAGACCAGAATCAGGACCAACATGCAGCACAGAATGAGACAACCCAGCCACCTATGGAATAAAACCCAAAGTGCTTGGTTATTAGCATGCAAAAAACCTCACTGGAGACCTGCAGCGTACAGTATGCAGTGCTATATATTCCCAGCTGGCCCACATGTGCCTGAGTAACAAATGTGAGCAACGAAAAAATGCTTTTCCTACACTAGCAATGTATTATGGGCCAGAACAAAACCACTGTTGGATTATCGACAGCTGCTGCTGAAGGGTTGTGGAACAAACGTCACAGGAAGAAGGTGTCCCCAATCCCAGTTCCTGCAGTCAGACCCTACTCAAGTGTCACAGTGCTCCCCATGGAGCAAACAATGACCTCAGGGAGGCAGATGCTCAAACAGTAATTTAAGGAAAGAGAAATGTACAAATGTGGACTGGGCACTGCTCATGAAGCACCTAACTGCTCTTATTGTAAACCTTACTACTTTTTGCACACAGCGTGTTAGGCTTGTAACTGTAAATAACTGTACTTAAGGCCACTAAAACCTAGGCTTTGCGTGTCTGCGCTGCAATGCCTTCAGTGTATGGAGCAGTTCATGGAACTTGATCATGAGAAAGATCCGGGACAGGAGTTGAACTTTCATTTTTGTTAATTAAATCACGTAAAAGTTCCACATATTTGGAGCACATCCATTTATTCACACATTTTTATATCTCATTCTAGCCTTTCACCCTCTTTCAGTTCCCCCTGCTCTTCCCTTTCCATTTTGTTGTCACTTCTCCCAGTTTATAGTTCTTAAGTTCGCTTTTCTCCTCTCTCTTTACCTTTGTAGACAGAAAGCAGGAATCAGGAAAAAAAAAAAAAAAAAAATCAAAAAAAGGACTATCATGATGAATATAAAAAACCACACCAATATTAAGGCTGACAGGCACATTCATAAAGGAATACTTATGAAGAACTACAAATAATGCACCTGTAATAAAGAAAGGGATGGACAGAAAATAGTTTGGACAACTACAAGCTTATTGGTTTCATTTGTACTTGTGAAGTACTACTGGGTTAGGTTTGACAAGAACAGGTATTTAAGTGCCATATACATGAAATAATCTTATATTTAGTTTCAGAAAAGTGGAGAAGTACAACAACGGGATACTGTAGCAAAACAAAGCAATGCATTTATTTGGTTAAATGCAATCTGAACTTCAAAGAAAATATTGATACATTTATACAATTAAGGGTCACCACAAAAACTGGCAGGTAAAGAATGGACTAGAGGTAAGGTTCTTAAAGTTCAGTCTTCTGCTTGCTTTTACTTAACATTGCATTAAAGCTGTTACCACAACTATTCTGTGGCAGTGAAACTGATTACAACATAAAGACAGAAACAATTATTGATCATAGGATCAACTGAAGTGTCAAAAATGAAGGGAGAACTTGATGAGCTTGAGGACTGAAATGACTAAATGTGAACAATGTTAAGTGGTATGAAAGCAAAAGTTTTCTGCTTCAAAATGTGAGATTAGTACTCAGGTATAGGAGTCACACGAGTCTGGGACAGGAATAATATGTTTTTCTCCAGGTACAATTGACCCAAGCACTCATAAGGGCAAGTACAACACCAGGAGGAACAAACATAAGTGCACAAAGATTTACAAAGCATAAAGCACAATTCC